AAAAAAAAAACAAAAAAAAACTGGTAATGCTCCTGCTTACACCAGCAAAACTTTCTTTTTATTCTACCTTTTTATTGCCCCTAAAAACAGATATTCCATATAACCCTCAAGAACCAGGAATTGTTGAATGTACTCATCATACTCTCATACTTCAAATACACAAATTAAAGAAGAGGGAGATATACCTCAATACACCACATAATCTTCTTTCTCATGCTTTTACTTTGAATTTTTAAACATTGATGTTCAGGATCACACGGCTGTGGAACATTTCTGGAACGCACCAAACTCTAAACATCCTGAGGTCTTGTGAAAGAACCCTCTTAACCAGTGCCTGGCAAAGACCTGACCCTGTTCTAATATGGGGAAGAGAACATGTGTTCCTCCTACAAAAGCTGACACCCCCCCAACTGGCTCCCTATAAGACTGGTTAAGCATGGACCCCAGGACATCTCATTCCACCAATGAAGAAACTGAAACTGACGCCCACAAGACTGTCCTACACATTGTAATTTGTCTGAGTGTGTAAATCATTTTAATCCTTTTCATGCTGTGATTGAACAACCTTCTTTTGTAATGTTACCTGTGAATTTATATCAACCTTGGTATAAGGAATCAGGTTTACAAATATTAACTGAGCTTAACAACTATTTTCAAAAACCTTTTGTAGGGGTGGATGGGTAGAGGGAGGGTGATTCCAGGGATCATATCTATGGTTTATCTTACAAGGGTACAAGTGAATCTTTCTAAAAGTAGAATATAAACGTCTTAACAAAATAATTAAGAAAGTGACATGAAGGCTATGTTAACCAGTTTGATGAAAATATTTTGGCTCGGCGCCTGTGGCTCAAGTGGCTAAGGCGCCAGCCACATACACCTAGGGTGGCAGGTTTGAATCCAGCCCAGGCCTGCCAAACAACAATGATGGCTGCAACCGAAAAAAAATAGCCAGGTGTTGTGACGGGCGACTGTGGTCCCAGCAACTTGCAAGGCGGAGGCAGGAGACTCGCTTGAGCCTAGGAGTTAGAAGTTGCTGTGAGCTATGCCACAGCACTCTACCCAGGGGGACAACTTGAGGCTCTGTCTCAAAAAAGAAAAACAGAAACTTTTGGCGGCACCTGTAACTCAATGGGTAGGGCGCTAGCCACATATACTGAGGCTGACAGGTTAGAACCCAGCTCAGGCCAGCTAAAACAACAATGACAACTGTAACCAAAAAAAAAAAAGCCAGGAGTTGTGGCAGGCACCTATAGTCCCAGCTATGTGGGAGGTTGA